TGGGCCCAAGCTAGGCAGCCGGGCCGCCCAGGCTGGAAACCGGACCTGCCGCCAAGCCAAGCCAAGCGGTTTTTAATGAATTCTTGTCACGTTGGGCGCCAAATGTAGATGTATCCAACCTTCTTATTAAATAATAAACACAGAACCAATGCAAAGAAGAAAGCCAAGAGGTCAGAGCTAAGAGCTAAAACCTTACCCTTCCTCCTGCGGTGGTCCTACCTCTCCGAACCAGAGCTACCCCTGTGTTAAAGTCTTTATATAGAGTTCCTGTCCTGCCTTCTCATTGGTTGTAAACCCAACCACATGACCGCCTCCTCACAGCCTGTCTGTATAGGCCTCCAGGTTTTCCATGATTGGTATTAAGATTAAAAGCATGTGTATCCAATACTGGCTGTATCCCTGAACACACAGAGACTTACCCAGCTCTGCCTACCAAGTGCTGGAATTACAAGCGTACGCTACCACTGCCCTGCTTTCCTATGGCTTGCTAATAGCTCTGACCCCCGGGCAACTTTATTTATTAACATACAAATAATATTTTAATACAAATAAAATATCACCATAGGCATCTCAAATCTTATTCTCCCCTTGTTCTTCATTGTAATATGGAAGGATGATTTAAGAGATATTTTTCTACATTGGAAGTTGTAGATGACTGTTGCTGCTGTGATGTTTTTCCAAATCTATGATAAATGGCACTCCACTGGGTTTATTTCTTTAAAATTGGTATTTTCTGTGTCCTCTTGGTCATTGGTGATTGACTCTCAAACTTGGTCTGTCTAGCTTCTCAATCTCTAGTCCTACTTCATTGTTCAATGGTCTTAGCCTCATCCTTCCACTAGGTCCTCTGTTGTAATTGGGGAACAGCTGCTAAGACAGCTGTAACCAAATCTCTCCAGTCTTGAGGGATAATTCCATTGCAAGTTGACCACAAGTTTAACATCTGCTTCACAAATAGGGAAATCTAACATTTGCACAGGAGTTCAGTCAACTCTTACACAGCCTTGAGCATTTGGCAGCTCTTGTAAGGTTACTGGATAGATTAAGATTGGCTGTTTGAAAGCCTTAGGCTGTTTGTCTGTAACGTATAATGCAATGCTGAGATTGATTCACCTTTAAATTCCTCTGTCTGGGACTGAATTTCTCTATGATTTGTTTTAACAAGTTTTTCTAAAACTTTTATCTTGGCACTTATATTAACCAAGATATAACCTTTTTAAATGATAAAACAAAAATAATTAAATAGTATTTATAATTGACATTACATAAATCCCATCTATATTAATTATCCTCTCATTTAATTGTTTCATTTTCAGACTGTCAATTGTATTATCAAACAGAAACCAAATTCCTTCCATTGTAAAAATGTTTCCCATTTTTTAATGTGGGAAAAATTTTTTTAATTTCTCCCTTTAAGAAATCCCAATTGTCTCACCAAATCTGCTGACAATGATAATTCAGATGTGAGGCTGACTGCGTCTGTGTAGAACAGTAGAAGCCTGAGCAGGTTTCAAGGCAGCTACCTAGTGTGGTAGCAGCCCAAGATGGGGATACCGGGAGAGCCCTCAACCTACCAGGAGAGAAGAAGCAAAAGAGCCAGCCATCTGCATGAAGGAACATGAGAAAGTGGCTAACTCCTATGGTTTTTGGAGCCCCCACACACACCTAAAAAAAATCCTATGGTGTTTGCTGCAGAGAGGCTGCAACAAAAACTTAGCCAGTGGGTTAGGGACTCGAGTCCACATGGGGTGGAGGTTCTGGCTGAGTGCAGCTGGGACCTGAACCATGGCCTGCAAGGCCACAGGCAAGCAGCTTTTTCGTGAACCATGCCCCACAAGTTGGACACCAGATGTTGTTTGAATCTTGGATGTTTTTTTTTTATAAAAACAACAACAACAACAAAAACCAAAAAAACCAGAGCCAGATATTGGCATGAAAGCTGAAAGATCAGAGAAACAGAGCAAAACACAGCCAACTTCATCTTGCCAACACCTCAGCTGATCCTGTCTCTATGAATGCTCAGACTGAAAGCCTCTGAGTCCTCACCCAAAAGGGTCTTGGCTGAACTGCCTTTTTCCTAACTCCTCATGTCTTATATACCTTTCTCTGCCCTGCTGTCACTTCCTAGGATTAAAGGCATATGTGCTTCCCAGTACTGAGATTAAAGGTGTGTGTCACCACTGCCTGGCTCTGTTTCCAGTGTGGCCTTGAACTCACAGAGATCCAGACAGATCTTTGCCTCCCAAGTGATAGGATTAAGGGTGTGTGCCACTACTGCCTGACCTCTATGTCTAATCTAGTGGCTGGCTCTGTCTTCTGATCCTCAGGCAAGTTTATTAGGGTACACAATATATTACCACTTACCTGTGGCCCATGTTTGTTATTGTCCATCCCAATTAAGAAAACAAACTTTTCAGGACCACCCAACATGTACTCGTCTGGAAACAAGAAAGAAAGAAAACTTAAGGTCATAGATTCTTAGTCTGTGGTTACAGTTCAGCATTGTTGCAGGCATCTATATTTGGTAGAGTAGACACCCAGTGAAGAGACTGAGAGTTCATTGCATGAAGCTGTGATGATGAAGCCTGGTATTGTTGGTTGGCTGTTTCGGTTTTGTGTGTGTGTATGTGTTTGTGTTTGTTTGTTTTTTAACTTTTTACTCTTTGGGGGGCCTGCCACCCACTGTCAAATAAATCACACACATGGAGGCTCTTTTCTTTCTTATAAATGCCTGGCCTTAGCTTGGCTTGTTTTTAGCTAGCTTTTCTTAACAGAAATTATCCCATCTACCTTTTGCCTCTGGGCTTTTATCTTTCTCTATTCTGTGTGCCTTTCTTTACTTCTTACTCTGTGACTTTTTTTGTAGCTGGATGGTTGGCCCCTGGTGTCCTCTTTTCTTGCTTCTCCTTTTTTCCTCCCAGATTTCTCCTATTTATTCTCTCTGCCTGCCAGCCCTACCTATACTTTCCTGCCAAGCTATTGGCTGTTCAGCTCTTTATTAGACCAATCAGGTATTTTAGATAGGCAAAGTATCACAGCTGCACAGTTAAAGAAATGCAATATAAAAAACTGCAACACACCTTTGCATCATTAAAACAAATGTTCCACAGCATAAACAAATATAACACATCTTAAAGTAATATTCCACAACAATCTGGATTGCTTTTTGAGACCACAAGATGTTAACATACCTAAGCTATGAGACATCTTCCATGGAGACTTAGCTGCATATTGGGAGTGGAACTAACCAAAGAGAGAGATGTATGAGAAGTATCAGGGATAGGGTCATCTAAGCCCTTTAAAACTGAAGCCCCATGCATCTGAGACAGAGTTACAGGAGTTGATGTTTGTCCTGCTGTGCTTCAGTCTTGCTGTGGTCCAATCTTCCTTCACTGTGTCTCCATTTCTCTCTTTTGGAATGTGAATGCCATTCTGTGCCATTGTATGTTAGAAAGATGTAACTTGTTTTCTGATTTTACAAGATGTCACTGTCAAGAGATTATCTTGAATGTTAAAAGAGATTTTGGACATTTGAACAGTGTAGGGGCTGTTGTAGACTATAAGAATCACTGAAGTGACTAAAGTATTTTCTTCATGGATGACCATTAGCCTATAGTGACTTAGGTCAGAATGTAGTTGATTGAATGAAAAACCTCCCAGATAGGAAGATGTATTTGAGCCTGTGTCTCTCCTTGGTGATTTTTTTCAATTGCTTGTGAAACCATCAGTAGGAAGAGACTTTCTGGATGAAATTCCTCATTGGGGATATAATATGAGTCTCTATAGCCTCAACACGTTTCCTGTTCCATGTGTCAGTAGATATGACATAACACTACTGTTATGTCTGCCATAACAGTAGTGTTATGGCTGAAACTAATCAGCCAGCTTCCTTCTTGTGCTGTCATGCCTTCACCACTGTTATAGACTCTCTCCCTAAATCACATAAGATACAGTAGAAGCAATTGCTATGCAGTGCTAAGGCAGTTTGATAGCCTGTTGTATTAATTTTTTGTTTGTTCTTTAAGACAAGTTTTGTTGTGTAGCCCTAGCTGTCCTGAAAGTAGCTCTATACACCAGGTTGGCCTTGAACTCAGAGATCACCATGACTCTGGCTACAAAGTGATGGGATTAAATGTGGGCCAACATTCCTGGCTTTTTGTTTGTTTGTTTTTATATTATAGAGTGATGGGCCTGGAATGTAGGTTTTTGTCCACTGAAGTGTATGCTGTTGTACTGAGCTTCATCCATATCTTGAATTTTAAAATTTCACAGAGGGTATCATTCTGTTTCCCAGAATGGCATGTATTCATGACATTAATATTGCTTGAGACTTCTGAGTCATTGGGTTGCTAATGCATCACCTTCTTCCTGCTTGTTGGGTTTGTTTTGAACTTTTTAATGAATATGAGTATTTTTTTTTTTTTTGGTTTTTCGAGACAGGGTTTCTCTGTGTAGCTTTGCGCCTTTCCTGGGACTCACTTGGTAGCCCAGGCTGGCCTCGAACTCACAGAGATCCGCCTGGCTCTGCCTCCTGAGTGCTGGGATTAAAGGCGTGCGCCACCACCGCCCGGCGAATATGAGTATTTTACCTGTATGCATGGATATGCACCATGTGGGTACCTGGTTTTCACAGTAATCAGAAGATGGTCTCAGAAACCTTGAACTTGTAATAATGAATGGTTGTGATCCTCCATGTAAGTACTGGCAATTAAGCCCACCTATATGCAAGACTAGCAAGAGCTCTTTACTACTGAGCTGTCTCTCCTGCCCTGTGTTGATTATTTATGATCAACATTTATATTGCTAATGTTTTCATCTGTCTATTTGTAACATTTTTTTTAAGATTTATTTATTTATTATGTATACAGCATGTATGACCGCAGGTCAGAAGAGGGCACCAGATCTCATTATAGATGGTTGTGAGCCACCATGTGGTTGCTGGGAATTGAACTGAGGACCTCTGGAAGAGCAGTCAGTGCTCTTAACCTCTGAGCCACCTCTCCAGCCCCTATTTGTAACATTTTAAACACACAGTGCCTTTTGTAGCTAGAGTTTTCCTGCTTGCCCACAGTCAGGACAAATCTCTCTCACCTGCCAGTCCCGACCAAGTAAACACAGAGACTTATATTGCTTACAAACTGTATGGCCGTGGCAGGCTTCTTGCTAACTGTTCTTACAGCTTAAATTAATCCATTTCCATTAATCTATACCTTGCCACATGGCTCGTGGCTTACCGGCATCTTCACATGTTGTTTGTCATCGTGGCAGCTGGCAGTGTCTCTCTGACTCAGCCTTCCACTTCCCAGCTTTATTCTCCTCCTTGTCCTGCCTACACTTCCTGCCTAGCCAATGGCCAGTCAGTGTTTTATTTATTGACTAATTAGAAACACATTTGCCATACAGAACATCTCACAGCAGCCTTTTAGTAAAATCTTATTGATGTTACAGTTTAGATTGGATACTTCAGTTTCTGGAAGATGAATACTGAACTAAAATGCATGCATAACTCTTTGTAGGAACTTCAGTAAAAACCTCTGATTTCTTTCTATCTTTTTTGTTTATTTGACTGATTTTTGCATGGGAGACAGGGTCTTAATATGTACCTCTGGCTGTTCTGGTCCTGATTGCATTGACTAGGCTGGCATTCAACTCAGAGGCACATATACCTGCCTCTGCTTTCTGAGTGTTGTGATTAAAGGCATGAGCCAATACACCCAGCTTGCCCGTATTATTTTTCCTTTTTGTAGTTAGTAATTAATTGTTCATACAATTTCTGTCATGTGTACTCTGTACTGTTGATCTGTTTACTTGTCTCTCTATGTTTGTTAATAGGCATTTCTCTTATAAGGTGATATCCCATTCAAGGGTACAGAAATGACAGAGGTGAACCTCCCATATAGTTTCCTTCTAAAGTGACTTGCTGATAAAATTATAATGTCTATGTCATGGAATAGGTATGGGGAATACCAGAATTATATGACTATACTGTCAAGGAAGTATACATTTACATTGTTGTTAGCATCATGCTTTCTGTTGTACACATGTATGGGATATTTTAGAATACAATCACCTATGATGATGTGCATGTCAACTTTACTTGGGAAGAGTGGACTTTGCTGGATCCTTTCCAGAAGAATCTCTACAAAGATGTGATGCTGGAGACATACAGGAACCTTACTACCATAGGTAAGACTGAATTTTCCTTCATGTTTTAAAATGAGACAACTGTTTCTTAGTTATTGATGCTCTTCTGTAATTTGTTTGAGATAGAAGAGTGAGCTGAATAAATCAGGCATAGTACTAAGTTTCACTGAGGATAGTAACTTAAATTTTGCATAGCTCTCAAGTAACATACATTTTCTGTTACTATATTTTAGGATACAGTTGGGAAGACAGTAATATTGAAGTACATTGTCAAAGTTCTGGAAGACATGAAAGGTAATTTTCATGGGCAAGCTGATACAAATGTGCCTCTGAAGAAATTATAATGTGTCCTGAAAGTTTTACACAAAAGCAACCATGTAAATAAGCACAACTTAAAGTGCATCGATGATTATGAAGTTCTCAAAAAACTATATACCTCAATTTCAGGTAGGTGAATTGCCTTTGCAAGGCATGCTTTTAAAAAAGAAGACAAGGAAACGATGCCTTAACAGATATCACCATTTGAATCATAACACCATGAGAGCTATGCTGTAGAACTGTCAATCTATTTAGTTTCATACCATTCATATTACAAAAGGTATATACATTGAAGAGGTAATAAGTATATCTTCAAAAAATTCTAATAAGTAGTCCATAGTAAAGCTAGTGTAACTCATACACTTGTGACTGCTAAGTTGAGTGAAAGGAGAGGCAGTTAGAGTCAAGGGGCAGTTGTTGTGGAGATATATTAACCCCTATACCACAAGCTTATGAGGAATGGAAAGTCAAACTGTATGAATTCAATGTGGAACCCTTTTATTCATTATTCTCCCTTTACTAGGCATATGATATGTCTCCCTGGAGACAAGACATATGAACATAGGGATAAGGAACAACGTAACATACCTCTCAGAAAAATTAGAAGATATTTAGCAGTCCCCACATTGAGTATACTTGTTGAATTTGATTCAAGTATGCAAGTAGTTGGTTTTCTAGTTTTATTGTTTATCAACAAACTTACACTGCTAAAAAGCCCTATGAGTACCTAGTTCACTTTGCAAAGGTAGTATGACTCACAGTATAGGAAAATTTATGAATGCACTAGACTTGGTAAAGCTCTGAGTTTTTCCAGTTCTCTTCAAGTATGTGGAAAATCTCATATAGAAAAAGATTCTGTAAATGTGAACCATGTAATAAAGGATCTTACCATCATAGGTATCTTAAAAATGCAAAACAACCCTTAATAACCCTTCTCTTTACAATTGGATCAAATGGTAAAATTAATTCATACAGATATAAAGATTCAACAGTATATTGAATGTGGTAACACTTTTACATGTGCCAATTATCCTTACAGGCATGAAAGAAGTCATACTGGAGAGAAACCTTCTGTATATACTCAGTGTGTTGAAACCTTTGCACATCATGGTAATCTCCAAATACATAAAAGAATACATACTGGAGAGAGACCCTCTGAATGTAATCAGTGTGGTAAAGCCTTTGTATGTGAGAATAATCTCCGAATACATAAAAGAACACATACTGGAGAGAAACCCTATGAATGTAATCAATGCAGTAAAACCTTTATACATCAACATACTCTTCAAATGCATGAAAGAACACATACTGGAGAGAAACCCTATGAATGTAATCAGTGTGGTAAAGCCTTTGTATGTCACAATTACCTTCAAAGGCATGAAAGAACACATACTGGAGAGAAGCCCTATGAATGTAATCAATGTGGTAAAGCTTTTGCACATTACAGGCAACTTCAAATGCATAAAAGAACACATACTGGAGAGAAACCCTATGAATGTAATCAGTGTAGTAAAGCCTTTGCTCATCACTCTAATCTTCAAAGGCATAAAAGAACACACACTGGAGAGAAACCCTATGAATGTAATCAGTGTGGTAAAGCCTTTGCTCATCACTGTAATCTTCAAAGACATAAAAGAATACATACTGGAGAGAAACCCTATGAATGTAATCAGTGTGGTAAAGCCTTTGTTCAATACAGTGCTCTTCACATGCATAAAACAACACATACTGGAGAGAAACCCTATGAATGTAACCAATGTGGTAAAGCCTTTGCACGTCATGGTACTCTTCACATGCATAAAAGAACACATACTGGAGAGAAACCCTATGAATGTAATCAATGTGGTAAAGCCTTTGCACATCACAGTCATCTTCAAATGCATAAAAGAACACATACTGGAGAGAAACCCTATGAATGTAATCAATGTGGTAAAGCCTTTGCTCATCACTGTAATCTTCAAAAGCATAAAAGAACACATACTGGAGAGAAACCCTATGAATGCAATCTGTGTGGTAAAGCCTTTGCACAACACAGTACTCTTCAAGTGCATAAAAGAACACATACTGGAGAGAAACCCTATGAATGTAATCAGTGTGGTAAAGCCTTTGTTCATCACAATACTCTTCACATGCATAAAAGAACACATACTGGAGAGAAACCCTATGAATGCAATCAATGTGGTAGAGCCTTTGCATGTGTCAGTAGTCTTCGAAATCATGAGAAAAAATCATACTGCAGAGAAACCCTATAAATTTAGTCAGTGTAGTAAAGTTTTGCACTTTATATAGAAGTAAAACTTTTAGTGTGCAATCATTCTGTTAAATCCTTTGCATATTACAATAGTCTTTGAGTAACTGAAAAAAATCCTGAGGGCTCCTTATTATAAAGTATTTTGTAAGATCTTTATCCAACACAGTTATATTCAGTTACACTAGAATTTATTCTGTAGAAGAAAATTTGACAATGCCAATATCTGTTCAAGCATTATGATGTCCATTTTTATATTGTTTGTACCTACAAACTCAGAGAAAAATGAATTTGTAAGGCCATATGTGTAGGGTAAAGGGCCAGCCAAAGAAACACCCTGGTCCTGAAACCAGAGCCAGTGAAAGACACACTTTGGCCCTGAAACCAGAGCCAAAGGAACACACTCTTCCCCTGATGAACTGAGCATGAAACCAACCAATCTATGAGCAGCAAAGCAGGGTCTAGGTACCCAAACCACCACAAACCTCAGCTGAGACAACCCTGTTTTACCTGATAACCAGCCAATCACCGGAACCCTTGGCCATTCAGGCCAAAAACAATAAAGGAAACACACAATAAAGGAACAAAAGACCTATCCAACAAAGACATCATGAGCAACACCTGTACCTATACCTATCCCAAGTCCAGATGGCTAAACGGAAGTGTAAGACTACATTCAACAACATAAAGAGCAGTATGGTACCACCAGAACCTGGTGGTTCTACAACAGCAAGACCTGAATATTCCAGTGCAGATGAAGCAGAAGAGAACGACCTTAAAACAACTTTATGAAGATGATAAAGGCCCTTAAAGAGGAAATAAAAAAATCCCTTAAAAAATCAAGAAAAAGACCAACAAAAAATTGGAAGAAAACAACAAATCCCTTAAGGAAGGCTAAGAAAAAAACAAGTAGGTCACAGAAACATTTCAAGACTTGAAAATTGAAATAGACACAAAGAAAACAAACTGAGGGAATTCTGGAAATGGAAAATCTGGATAAATGAACAGGAATTACAGATGCAAGCATAACCAACAAATACACAGGAAGATAGAAGAAAGAATCTCAGGCATTGAAGATATGATAGAGGAAATAGGTTCATTGGTCAGAGAAAATGTTAAATCCAGCAAATTCTTAACACAAAACATCCAGGAAATCTGGGACACCATGAAAAGACCAAACCTAAGAATAATAGGGATAGAAGAAGAATAATTCCAACTCAAAGGCACAGAAAATATATTCAACAAAACCAGAAGAAAAGTTTCCCAACCTAAAGAAGGACATGCCTATGAAGATACAAGAAGCTTACAGAACACCAAATATTCTGAACAAATTTTTTAAAAATCCCCTTGCCACATAATAATCAAAACACTAAACATACAGAATGAAAAAAAAAAAAGAATATTAAGAGTTGCAAAGGAAATAGACCAAATAACATAAAGGCAGACTTATCAGAATTATACCCAACTTCTCCATAGAGACCCTAAAAGCCAGAAGGTCCTGGACAGACATTTTGCAGACACTAAGAGACCATGGATACCAACCTAGACTACTATACCTAGCAAAACTTTGAATCATCATAGATGGAGAAAACAAAATATTCCATGACAAAACCAGATTTAAACAATACCTATCCAGCCCTACAGAAAGTATTAGAAGAAAAACTCCAGCTCAAGGAAGTTAGCTGCACCCACAAAAACACAGGCAATAGATAATCTCACACCAGCAGATCTCAAGGAAGGGAAACACACAGAGACACACAAACACTACCACTGACAAAACCAAAAAAAATAACAGGAATTAACAATTATTGGTCATTAATATCTCTTAATATCAATGGACTCAATTCACCTATAAAAAGACATAGGCTAACAGAATGGATACAAAAACAGGATTCATCCTTTTGTGGCATACAAAGAACACACCTCAACTTCAAAGACTGACATTGCCTCAGAGTAAAGGGTTGGGAAAATATTTTCCAATCAAATGGACCTAAGAAGCAAGCTGGCATAGCTATCCTAATATCTAACAAAATAGATTTCAAACTGAAATCAATTAAAAGAGATAGAGAAGGATATTTCATACTCATCACAGGAAAAATCCATCAAGATGAAGTCTCGCCGGGTGGTGGTAGTGCACTCCTTTAATCCCATCACTAAGGGGGCAAAGGCAGGTGGATCTCTGTGAGTTTGAGGCCAGCCTGATCTACAGAGTGAGATCCAGGACAGGCATCGAAACTACTCAGAGAAACCCTGTCTCAAAAAACCAAAAAAAAAGGATGAAGTCTCAGTTCTGAACATCTATGCCCCAAATACAAGGGCAACCACATTTGTAAAAGAAACATTACTAAAACTTAAATCACACATCAAACCCCACACACTAATAGTGGGAGACTTCAACACCCCACTTTCACCAATGGACAGGTCTCTGAGACAGAAACTTAACAGAGAAATAAGGAAACTAACATGTTATGACTCAAATGGATTTAACAGACATCTATAGAACATTTCACCCAAACACAAAAGAGTATAACTTCTCAGCATCTCATAGAGCCTTCTCTAAAATTGACTACATATTGAGCCACAAAGCAAATCTCAACAGGCACAAAAAAAAACTCTAATAACCCCCTGTACCTTAATGGATCACCATGGCTTAAAGTTAGAATTCAACAACAACACAAATTACAGAAACTCTACAAACTCGTGGAAATTGAAAAATGCTCAGCTGAGTCACCACTAGGTCAAGGAAGAAATACAGAAATTAAAGACTTCGTAGAATTCAATGAAAATGAATACACAATAACCAAAATTTATGGGACACTATGAAAGCAATGCTAAGTAGAAAATTCATAGCACTAAGTGCCTACATAAAGAATTTTGAGAAATCTCACACTAGCAACTTAAGAGCATACCTGAAAGCTCTAGAGCAAAAAGAAGGATGCTCACCCAGGAGGAGTAGATGGCAGGAAATAATCAAATTGAGGGCTGAAATCAATAAAATAGAAACAAAGAAAACAATACAAAGAATCAATGAAATAAAGAGTTGGTTCTTCGAGGAAATCAACAAGATAGACAAACCCTTATCCAAACTAACCAAAAGGCAGGGAAAGAATATCCAAATTAACAAAATCAGAAACAAAAAGGGAGACATAACAACAGACAATAAGGAAACCCAGATAATCATCATGTCATACTTCAAAAACTTGTACTCCACAAAATTGAAAAAACTAAAAGAAATGGACAAGTTTTTTGGATAGGTACCACATAACCAAATTAATAGGTCAATTTAAATAGACCTATAACCCCTAAGGGAATAGAAACAGTCATTAAAAATCTCCCAAACCAAAAAAAAAAAAAAAAAAAAAAAAGCCCAGGGCCAGATCGTTTCAGAGCAGATACCAGAATTTCACAGAAGAGCTAATACCATTACTCCTCAAATTGTTCCACACAATAGAAACAGAAGGAATATTGCCAAACTCTTTTTATGAAGCTACAGTTACCCTGATACCCAAACCACACAATGATGCAACAAAGAGAAAGAATTACAGACTAATCTCCCTCATGAACATTGATGTAAAAATACTCAATAAAATACTGGCAAACTGAATTCAAGAACACATCAAAAAAAAAATCATCCATCATGATCAAATAGGCTTCATCCCAGATATGCATGAGTGGTTTAACATGCAGAAATCTGTCAATATAATCCACCATATAAACAAACTGAAAGAAAAAAACCCTACATGATCATTCCATTAGATGCTGAAAAAAACCTTTGATAAAATCCAACACCCCTTCAAAAAGGTCTTGGAGAGATCAGGGAAAATATCTAAACATAATAAAGGCAATTTACAGCAACCCAGCAGCCAACATCAAATTAAATGGAGAGAAACTCAAAGTGATTCCATTAAAATCAAGAACAAGACAAGGCTGTCCACCCTCTCCATATCTATTCAATATAGTATTTGAAATTCTAGCTATAGCAATTAGACAACAAAATATTGCATGGTGCAGAATTATGCAGTAAGAATTAATCCATCATTTATGAGGCCAACCCATCAGAAATGTGGATTTTGTTGGAGGAAATCATCACATATAGCATTTTGGGATTATTTGCCTTTTGAATGGATTGCTGGTCTGGCTGCAGGATTTCTTGTTAGCTACAATACTTCCCGTCTGTTACAAATTTGGGATTTATTCCCACAGTTTAGCAGTGTTCTGATCATTTATTGGGCATAATTTCCTCTATGTATTGGTGTATTTTGGATGACCTCCCTAAGCTATGTGTGAAAGCAGTCACACAGTCAAAACCTTTGTTTCCCACAACCAAGTACTTGTTTTATTTTCCAGTGTAAACTTAGAGGTCTGCCTTCCTGCAATTATCCTTATTGGCCAGTGTTAGTGTCCAGGCAAGTAATCTCATTTGAGACATTCACAGACACTTCATGTCTGGACCTGTTGATTTATAGCCACTCAGATAGGGAACAGTCGTGCCCTGGTTTCACCCTGCTGACACAAACTACCTCACACTAACAGACCCTTAACTCCTTGCTTTTATTCTCACCTTGGTTTATTAATACAAGATTTTAGCTTAGAGATTTACTGCTTGTGATAACAGGTAAAGTAATTACACATTTGTTCATTCTCAAAGAAAGGTAATTTTCCAGACTTGCTGAGATTTATGCCACTAAGACTAGAGCAGCTGAGATGTGCCGGGTTCCATATGTTGTGCAAAATAGGCTCATGTCCTCCCTTTGTTTTAACCGCTTAAGGCAAAAGGTGTAATCCTTTAGATCTGAGAGCTTCTTTAAAGCCAGACAACACTGGCAAAAGTTCTACAGCAGACCAAAAGCTGCATGTATTCCTCAACTGCTTATGTTGGTTGCCTAGTAACAGAGGACACGTCCCCTGTCCACTGGAAAAGCAGCATGCGAGCTGCTTGGAAGCATCACATGGAGAAAAAGACAGGTTTTTTTTAACTTTATTTGTGATTTTTACTGATTATAGACTTTTAGCTTATTACCTAGCCACATTTAAGAATGTAGTTTAAGCACACAAATTATATTTCCTTTGTTGGTTTAATCTGTAGTTGAACTCATCAGGGAGCCTCCATTAACCACTCCCACTTTGTGCCGTAAATGAAAGCTGACAATAACTGCTCTGTGTGTCAATCTTATCTCTTTGAGAAATTCAAGCCTTGTAATATATTGCCAAAGAACCCACTGTTTGTAAATGTATATAAGCTGGTACTCTCACTGTAGAACTTGGATAGTTTCAGAACAATAAAGAGACATGGATAGAAAGAGCACAGTGTGAGTAGACTTATTCTCATCCTCAGATACTAGTATTTCCTCACTTGTTGTAGTACCTATTTAGAACCCTGGAAGAAGGCTTTTAAGGTAGGCACTTAAAAGTCTTCATTTCCTGGTGCCTGGGTGTTAGGGAATCAGAAAAAGTAGGTATTCAAGCATATCCAGGGAAAGAGGTATCACTTGACGGGAGCTGTCCAGCAAAGGGAGACCTAGCCCCTCCCAGAGATATGAATAGGAGACCTCCCTAGTCATCAGCTACAATCAAGATCTCACCAAAGGATTCTGCAGATCCCGGGGGAACCCACTGCCTGTCAGAGCAGTGAGTAGAGACATTAAATAACCCCTCCCTTTAGCACTCTCCTTAAATCTTTCCCGCACTATGTGACAAAATGAATCTAAATAGAAACAGCTTTTTGTGGAAGTTATTAAACATATGCTAAGATGAAGGAGTTTGAGTTAATTCTAGTCAACTTTCTGAGTTTCTTAAATTTGTATAGAAACTAAGTCCCTGTTTCCCAGACCATGGGGCCCCGAATTCTGAGGCATTGGAAACTGTATGGAAGGATATTAAGAACTGGCATGCACAGCATGGAGCACAGCAGATGCCATCCATAGCATTTTCCATGTGGAATATGCTTAAACAACCTCTGACAACTGATCAAGAACTTAAGCTCCAGCTAGAATCAGAGCTAACTATTCTCTCACCATCTGTTTATACCATGGCACCTCTCCTTCAGAGAACACTCCACACATACACACACACACTGTCTCCATGTTCAGAATCGAAACAGAACATTTTCCCCTCTTTAAGGGACCCTAAAGAGGAGATTTCTGATAATTTTAGTGATGAAAAATCAATCTCTGAGGAAGAAGATGATTGGGTAAAGGGAGCAATAAACTGTTGAACACCCGACTGCCTTCTGCTACAGTGTTTAACCATACACTCCACATGGCCCCCTGAAAAACAAAAAAGAAGTGAAGGGAGCTGGTGGGTTTTGCTGGAGTGATCTGACAAGCCCACCTTCAGGGTGAGGCACTATGATGCTTTCCTGTTATTGCACCTAGTCAAGGAACTAATGACTGGCCCACATGGGAACCCCTTCCTTTTAAACTGCTTAAGGAAATAAAACAGGTTACATCTGCCTTTGGGCCAACTTCTCCATATACACTCAATCTTGTGGAGAGTTTAATTGGTCCCAAGTAACTAAAGCTTGTTTAGCAGGAAGCACTTTCTTATTATGGAAAGCTGAATATGAGTGCCTCACTCACCAGGAAATGTCTAAAACTGCCAGGAGGAAAGGTGGGGAGACTTAACGTATGAGATGTTCATGGGCACTAGAAAATGATTTGAGACAGCTGAACAATTAAAGTTATCACAGGGAACCTTGCAGACAATTTCCACAGCAGCTTTAGCAACATGGAAGCATTTACCCTCAGCTAATGCTAACACCAAAGGGCTCACTACTATAACCAGAGGATCCATTTACAGAATTTATTGCTAGACTAATGGAGGTTGTGGAGAGAGCAGTTCCCAGCTCTGAAGCAGGAGATATCATTTTGAAACAATTGGCTTTTGAAAATGCTTCTCCTACTTGTCAATCTCTATTAACTCCAATAAAGAAAACTGGGAGCATTTCTGATTATGTTAAAGCAGGTGTTGATGTGAGTCCCTCTTACTTTCAAGGTGTGGCAATGGCAGTGGCATTATAGGGATGAACAACTGCCCAATTTCTAAATACGCAACAATGGGGAGATTTTAATCAGAGAAGCATGGGTCTCAAATGCTTCTCATTTGGACAAATTGGGCATACTAGCAAATACTGCTCCTTTCAAAGAGGGATTAATAATAAGTTCCAATCCCAGAGGCACTAATATAAGCTCAAATTCTCCAGCTTTGGCTCAAAATATAAATCAAAGCATGCCTCTTGGATTATGCCCTCATTGCCAAAAAGGCTTTCATTGGAAAAGGGATTGTAAGTCCCAATTTCCATAGGGATGGCACTCTCCTAATTGTTGCTACTGCCTCCCCAATCAGTGCAAGACTCCTGGCCAACCAGGGAAACTTCATGAGAGGTCAGCGCCAGCCCCATCAAATAGTAGGAGAAGTCCAGCCAGCCCAAACAACCCCTTCCTAAACGGAGGACCATTCAACAATTTCAGAGAGCAACTTGCAGAAGCATAAGAATGGACTTATGTGCCACCACCTTTATATTAACTCACAACTCTCCAACAGTTTGTCTTAACACCAGAGTCTATGAACCTCCCCCAGAGGGGACACTGGGCCTAATAATAGGCTGTAGCTCCTCTTTTGTAGCTACAGTTTTCCTGCCTTGCCCACAGTCAGGACAAATCTTTGTCACCTGCCAGTCCCACAGCCACTCAGACCCAATCAAGTAAACACAGAGACTTATATTGCTTACAAACTGTATAGCTGTGGCAGGCTTCTTGCTAACTGTTCTTATAGCTTAAATTAATCCATTTCTATAAATCTATACCTTGCCACGTGCCTTGTGTCTTACCGGCATCTTCACATGCTGCTTGTCATGGTGGTGGCTGGCAGTGTCTCCCTCTGCCTTCCTGTTCTCTCAGTTCTCCTCTCTGTTAGTCCCGCCTATATTTCCTGCCTGGCCACTGGCCAATCAGTGTTTTATTTATTGACCAATCAGAACAATTTGACATACAGGCCATCCCACAGCACTTTCCCTTTTCTTTCTTTCTTTCTTTCTTTCTTTCTTTTTCTTTCTTTCTTTCTTTCTTTCTTTCTTTTAAGAGGAAGGTTTTAACTTTTACACATCTCCAAAGCCAGTTTGGTATATTTGGGAATTTGGGTGTAGTAGCTTCTTTTACTACTTCCTGCTGGAGGGGGCACTGTATCTTATGGGGACACAAAGAAAATTTTAGGATTATGGAGTAGTCTGTGAGGGTGTATCGTCTGAGCCAGTTGCCTCGAAACGGTTCTGGATGTTGGATCATCTGGGCCTTGGTGTCATCGGAGACCTTTCAGGGGGTCTTGGCTGGTCAAACCTGATGTATCTTAATCTGGAACAAATCCATAGCCTCTGGCTTTCTGTGGAAACAAAAGCAGAGTCTCCTTTCCAAAGCAACATATCCTTACATCCAAATTTTGAAGTCAAGGTACCTTTAAAATATACATTTTGGCATAACTCAACAGCTTTTGCAATCAAATGTTTTTTTTCAGTTATGAATATCAAAGAGAACATAATCCAGATTCTCTGTGCGGTAGCCATCTTTACGTGGCTTATTTTTTATATTACCTTGAGCCTATTGCTTTAAACTGCAGCCTTCTAAACCTGAAACAGTGCTGTGGCTGCTGGCTCCGCCCACTTCAGCTTCCCAACATGGCAGTGGTACGTTTTCTGCCATCTCTAGGAACCATCAACTCTCAGAAATAGTGGGTCTATGCTTCTATCAAAGCAGCGTGTAGCTAAGAAACCTCTTTTTTGTTTTGTACTAGCAAAGGCTAAATTCACGACGCAGCTTAATGTGCCACTTGTAGAGGCCTCATTCCCACCAAACTGCAGGTTGAGTGCACATGCCAGAAACCTGCCATAGTAGCTCAAACACGCAGGCTGCCACTAACTTGAGAGAAACAACTAGGAACTGTTTTTAGCTCTGTTTTAGAATCTTTTTTCTCAGGTTTTAGGTGGAAACTCTTGCCAACATGTTGGGTGCCATTTGTAGCTAGAGTTTTCCTGCCTTGCCCACAGTCAGGACAAATCTTTGTCACCCGCCAGTCCCACAGCCACTCAGACCCAACCAAGTAAACACAGAGACTTATATTGCTTACAAACTGTATGGCTGTGGCAGGCTTCTTGCTAACTGTTCTTATAGCTTAAATTAATCCATTTCTATAAATCTATACCTTGCCACGTGCCTTGTGTCTTACCGGCATCTTCACATGCTGCTTGTCATGGTGGTGGCTGGCAGTGTCTCCCTCTGCCTTCCTGTTCTCTCAGTTCTCCTCTCTGTTAGTCCCGCCTATATTTCCTGCCTGGCCACTGGCCAATCAGTGTTTTATTTATTGACCAATCAGAGCAATTTGACATACAGGCCATCCCACAGCACTCTTTTGTACAAGTTCTTAATGTTGTCCCAGGAGTGATTGACCCTGACTTTACTGGAGAAATTAAAATTATTGTATAACCTCCCACAAAAAGAATTCATATTTGTGCAGGACAGCACATAACACAGCTGTTGCTGCTCCCATATCAGGTTACAGGAAGCACAGCCTGTGCAGCCCCAAGGGGAGCTGCCGGTTTTGGTTCTAGTGACATGGCTTTCTAGGTTCAGGAAATCAGAGACTCTAGACCATCTAAAACTCTTAAAATACAAGGAAAGAAAATAACTGGTTTGCTGAACACTGGTGCAGATATTTCCTGCATTTCTGGAAAAGATTGGCCAGGGACTTGGGAAATGTGGATTCCTCCTTCCTCCTTAGTGGGTTTGGCTCAGGCAAATAATGTAGCCAGAAGCTCAGAGCAAACTCCATAAAGAGTTTCTTCAGTGCCCATCATCCTCTTTGAAGTAATTGGTGCTACCAGGAGCAGACATGTCTCACCATCCAGAAAAATCTAAATTCTTAAAACATTTTAAATGCCATATTCTGTAGGTCTTTGAAGTGTTTGAAGATTATCTATCTAATTGAAATATATCTTTGTATACCTAGAAAACTTAATTAACGTGACCAAAAGTTTGACTATCATAAATGACTATTAATCTGAATTTCTTAATGATATATTACAATTTTAGATGAGTTGCATAAATATAATACCTTAAACAAGAGTAGAAATATATATACAGTATAACAACATTAACTTTATATTTGTATCAATAAACCAAAATCCATACCAATGTTAAGTATTTTGAGATTAACAGTTATTTTTTGTATCAAAATAGACTCAATAATTTATCCCTTTCTATCATTTCTATATCATATTCCCCTTTTTTCTTTAGAAAAAGATTGCATTTATAA